AAATTTGAGCCGAAACTTGAGCCAGAAAATATTTTTTACACCCCGCCTTGATGTTGTGCGTCCTTAGCACCACATCACCTACACAAACAGGTTACTAGTTTCCACGTTCTCCACTCCTGTGAAACTTGCTCTCCGGACATACTAGGCTTGTACCCTACACTACCCTTGTTGTACTTTTCCCTCGCGTTGTACGGAAAGCATGAAGTGATCGGAGTTCACCTGTACGGAAAACTCACTTCTTCCACCTCTTCCTTTTGTCGAACTTTCTTCCTTTTGCTTTTTACTTTCCTTTCAACTTTCTTCCTTCCACTTTTTTTCTTTGAACTTCCTTTCTTTTTTTGCTTCTTTCTTCTCTTAATCTTTTCACTCTTTTCACCTACAAGGCTTTGGTAGTAGAGGAGGGTTACAAACTCTGCACGATGCGCACCGCAACCTCCTGTGAATGTCCATTGTGTACTCTGCAACTCTTGCGACACAAGCCAAACTGCCGCATCCTTCTCCCTCCTTGCGGAACTTGTGCTGCTGGAGGTAGTGTCGGCGCTGCCTGGTGCTTCTGCAAGTCGCGGTACTTGTCCAGGTTCTGGGTCACGTTCCGGTCCACCATCATTGTCACCTTGAACTGGTGGTTCTTCATCCCTTTGAGGTGTGCCTTTCAGGTACTGGGCCTTCCTGACTTTCAGGTACTGGGTCTTCCTCTTGACCTTCCTCATCTTCATTATCTGACTCAGGATCTGGTGTATCATACACCCATGGTGATTGAGTCCGTCTTCCATACAAGTTCATGAGCTGAAAGAACAGAAGCAACATGACCAACAAAGTCAATACAAACATCCACAAACTCGCCAATTCAACGCACACGTACGTCTCCTTGATGAACTCTCTTGGTTGTCCTTTTGACCCCAGAACCATTTGACTCAAACATGTAGTGAACAACAACCGACTGTTCTTTGTGGTGCTTCCCACTGGCTTGAGACGTCGGATATGATGTCTCAACGCTGCCATCTCCTCAGTTGGAACTTCTCTTCCTCTTGAAATTCCTCTGTTAGGTTTCCATGTAGGTTTTGGTTCTGTACACACTAGAAAATCTTTACACCTTTCCAGCGCCCCTCTTCGGACATGCACGATAGTCATGATCCTTGGAGCCACACACGAAGCAGCCTGTGTAGGTGGGATTTCCGGGTCTCTGTGATCTGTGATCCTTTATAGACTTCCCTTGCACTGCCAGAGAGGTTCCCGACGACGTAGGAGATGAGTGATGCGCTCGGCCTTTGGAGTTGCCCTTGCCATAACGACCGCCCTCTTCTTCTGACAGGGGAAAGTAGCCTCTTGCCGTGTCGCGAGCAGCCATAAGCTGCCAAGACTCTTTGAAGGTGCGAACCTTGCCCGCCGTAGACATCAGCAATTTCCTCAGCAGCGTATCAATCTCCACCCACGGCTTTGTGTCAGCCCAGGACCACCAGATGCCATTTCCATCTTGCGCGCAGCACTCACCTCCGTGCCATGCGAAGTCCCATCTGGCCTTCCGTGATCCAATCTTCTGCAGCGTAAACTTCAGCAGGAAGCCGTGGGCCTACCCAATGGATCTCGCCCTCGTCCTCGTCAGGGGATGAGTCCCCACTCGCCAGATGCCTCGACCCAGTACGACCGCCGGCCTCGCCCTTCACTGTCTGTCTGAAGCTAGGAGCTCATAGCTCTCTTGACACGACGATACACATCTCTGAGCTCTGCTGCCCATTGCGCCACGCTTTGCCCAGGTTGGCGCCGTGTCCTGAGCGAAATCTCTTCAAGGCGTGTCCCCAAATCGGGCCCTCCAGGAAGTCAAGGAGGTACACAGCTCCATCTCGACCCTGAAGATGAGAAGGATCAAGCTCGATGCTCACCTCCCACGCACGGCCAGTCAGTTGGCTCTGCCGCGCGCATCCACTCAAGCTTCACTCTCCTCAGATAATCCCAGCGCGGAACCTGCGGCTTGTGTGAGGACATGGTTGTCAGCAACAGATTGTAGGGATCACACGAAGAGAAATGTCGACGGAGAAGAGCACTGTGATCTTTGCCAGGAGCGCGCAGTATGCGGAATGGAACTCTCCAAAAAACCTGGAGCCGTGCCCTACTCTTGGCAACGGAGCACGGACTGCTCCCATAACAAATGGATAGGAAAGTTATCCACGCGTGGTTGCTGGCACAATTCTCAACACTCCACCAAAGGCATAGGCGGTCAAACTCAGGGCCACATCAAGGCACACCTGACACAACCTGATTGCCTGTAAGACCTGACTACGGTCAATAGTCAATAGTCGGAAGCAAGTGCAAAACGTGGTCGACTAAGCCCTCACGCAAAAGATTAAGCTTGATCTGCAGGGCATCCTTGGCATCTACCGGGACGACATGCACACAAAGGTCCCGCTGACTTTGGCCGAACCCGCAAGAATTTCAACGATAACGGTGCCGTGCGTGGCCAACGCCCCAGTGCTCCTGTCGCCGCCGCTGTGGCCAAATCCTGTAAACCTGATAAACCTGACAGTCTTCACCCGAAGCTGGCACATCAGCAGACTGGGCATCAGCCTGCGCTTTGTCAGCTCAGCTACCAAAACTGCGGGTTTGCCTTCATCAGGGGGCCTGTTTGTCGGAAAATTGAAGCTGCTCAACGTCAGCCAAGGCTGACTCACCCTTCACCCTGTACATCAACAACTGGGCTGCATCAACAACTGGGCTGTCAACGGAGATTGTCTGGTTAGGGCGGGGGGACTAAGTGCTCTCGGCGTGAGACACCAGACTTTCTGGACCGAAAGGAGCGACGTCTCAAGCTGGCACCCATCCGGCAGGCTGAAATCAAAACAGACGGGTTCGCCTCTAAGCCTCGGGTCGAGGCCTTTTGAACGCAGCTGGGACGTTGGTCTGCGCTGTATTCCCTTACCTTCCTTGGTTGCCGACCATGGCCACTTCAAGCTAGGGGCCGGTCTGGCTTTTGGAGAGTCTTCCAAGGCTTTCATGGCATCATTGACTGGGCAGCCCTCAGCAGTTGGTCCAAAGAAGGCACGGAACCTGCGCACATGGGCTAGCAATGACGTGGCATAGGCCTTGCGCTCAGCAAAAGAACACACCTTTGCCGTTGCACGCCGTTGCCATTGCAAGCGCCACTCCCCTGCGCGCGAGAGCCTGAGCGACCCTCAACTCAGGACTGACATCTACCTTCAGCGGCCGCTGTTTGCTTGCCAACCTGAATGGAACCTGAGAAGGCACTCCTCTTCTGCTCCCTGGAAGCACTAGGCACAATGTAAATGCACTGGGCCACAGCCTGAGCACAAATCAATGAGCTCACGCAGACTTGACAAGGAGTGCCCAATTTCTGTGGTGGATTGCCTGGAATCTGGCATCAGGCTCATGGGGTGCGAGGCGCAGGGTACGCAGGCTCATCACGCACGCTTCTCGCTTCGTCAGACACTGGGCGTGAACAGGCAAAGCCACACCCGGAGCTGCAAGCAACAAACGCAATACCTGGTGTCAGGATTAATATGCCTACGAAGATGCCTGCTCAACTGTGCTTCTCCCTGTGCATCCTGAGCCGCGGAATGACCTTCAGGCCGAAGGCCTGTGGCAACAAGCCCTCAAATCCAGCCTTCTGAACCCTAGCAAAAATTAATGAATGAAAAGGCAAGCCCTCCTCAGTCACCTGGCAAAGATCCAGCTGATCCAACATCAGTGCCGAGAAGGGACCTGATTGCCAAGGTGCCTGTCGCTGGAGTTCGTAAACAGGAGGGAAGCCTGCACGGAGGCCTGAAGTGCCAAATCTGTCCTGTTCACCTGACAAGTGGTAGGACGCACTGACGGAACTGAAGCCGCAACAAGCCGAAAGCCAACCATCGAACTCGTGTTCAAATGATTTTTTTGGTTTCAATGACTGATGCATTCGCCAGGAATTCGCTGAGATCCTTAACTGGACAAACTTTCTTGCCCTGAGGCATGTCGAATCTCCTCGAAGCCCGCCACACTCCTTGCTGGGTAGCGCTGGTCGATCCGATCTGCTGCCACGTAGCTATCCTCTTGTCCACCTGATCCAGAGTTTGATGCCTCACAGCATCTGATGCTGCACGGTCTTCAGCTGCGCGGATTTCTCTTCTCTCCAGCACTATGGAATCCTTGATCTTCTTGTCTGCCTGGGAAATTCTTCAGCTTCTTTCTATAATGGCTGATACTCTGCTAATTCTGCTCCCGGAATTCCTTTCCTCTGTGCACCTGCTGAAATAACATTGGCCAGGTATTCGAGTTGTCCAATGCAGATAGTGTGTCGAGAGGGCGGCGAACCTTCATAGCTTCTTTTACAGAGGCATCAGGTGTCCGAAATATCCCATCACCTCCTGAAGAAGGGCATCCCCCTTCTTAATTATTGGGGCATTTTCAGGGACGGATGCGGGGTGGCCCACATCATAGAATTAGTGGGAGAGTGGATGACGCACAGCGTACGCGAGGCCACACGCTGCTGGAAGACTTTGGCCAGAAAGCATAAGGCTCGTTGGACGCATGCACCTGCTTCCCATGTAGACCTGGACCTTCTGTGCCAAACCTGTGGCCACTTGCAAACCTGTAAAAGACCTTGACGCGCCTGGAGTCATCTCGGGCTGACAACCAACAGTTGGCCGCGGAGACTTTGCTGCAACGTGCTGTGCTTTGCCTGACGGCGCCTGCTTTGCTGGTGATCCAGAGGCCGCAAGCCCTGGTGCAGAGCTGAGCAGCAAACTCATCGCCCAGCTCGGCCGACACTTTGTCCTGGTTTGGTGCTCTTGAGGTTGGCCTGCAATGGCCTCAACAAGTTGGTCCGGCTCACTGTGCAGCAGACTTCTGACAACAGCCTGAGCCCCTGCTCGTTTCTGATTACCAAGCCATAACCTACCTCACTGTACCTGCCTGACTTCTGAAAATTTGGTACTTGACCCAAAATGGCACAGAATCGCAAACTTTAAATGCTGTTGTCGCAAGCTGACAATCTCCCCAGCAGTTTCGACCAAAAAAAAGGGACATCCGAAGTGGCTCTTACTGCACAGGCACTCCACAGCAGGATGCCAAAGCCAATTGCAGAAGAACATCATGGCGCATGCAGCATAGCAGTGGGCGGTGTTGATAGCGGCTAACCAGGCCACAGCGCGACAGCTTGCAAGTCCATTGCGAACCGCTTAGTAAGAGACCATGGGCCAAGGCGCCTTGTCATGATCCACTGGCATCAGCCAAGCGCAGACTGGTGATCGCGAAGGCATATGGATCAGATCTCCATGTTCCTCACAAGACCATCAAAGTTTAGCTTCGAAAGGTTTCTTGCACGTAGTTAACAAGCATGAACCTGCCTCCCTGGGAAACAAAAGCACGAAGAAGCCACAAGCAAGTTGGATGGTGAAGCAGAAAAGGTTCCTGAAGTGCGCGCGCGGGGGGGGGGGGGGGG